AGAATAGAAATAGAATAGAGAATAGAATAAATATTGGAATGTAGAATAGAATAGAATAGAAATAGAATAGAATGCAGAATAGAATAAATATTGGAATGTAGAATGGAGTGGAGTGGAGTGGAACAGAATAGGAATAGAATGGAATCTAGAGGAGCAGAACGAAACAGAACAGAATAGAATAACAGAGTTGGAAGGGACCCTGGAGGTCTTCTAGTCCAACCCTCTGCCCAGGCAGGAAACCCTACCCCACTTCAGACAAAATGGTCACCCAACATCTTTTTAAAAACTTCCAGTGTTGGAGCATTTCCAACCTCTGGAGACAGGTTGTTCCACTGATTAATTGAAATGAATGAATTGAAAGCGCGGCTCCCTTACTTTGCTCGTATTTGCCCCCTCAGAAAAGTACCAAAACGGCAACCGAAGTGGGCCGGACTTTTGCCACCATGTTTTCGGACATCACCTTCCGACAGAAACTCCTGGAAACCAAGACGGAGGAAGAATTCAAAGAGGCTTTGGTCCACCAGCGTCACTTGCTGATGGTGGTCAACCAGAGGCCCTCGGCAGTGACCGGTGACCACAAGGCTCATGGTTCCAAACCGCTGAAGGTACGGGAGGAGGGGCGTGGCCGCCGCCTGGTTTCAGGTCCTTGGAATACGACCGTGTCTCTCTTAGAGGAGTTTGCTGCTGCAGGTCTCATCCTAAGTTCAAGGAAGGGTAATGACGGGTGGTCCTCGACTTACGGCCACAATTGAGCCCAGAGTTTCCATGGCTAAGCAAGAGAGTCGCGTTTTGTGACCTCCCTCGCTAGAGTTGTTAAGCGCATCGCCACGGTTGTGAACTGAGCCCCGCGGTTGCAAGTGAATCGGGCTTCCCCGTGGCTGGTCAGAAAGTCGCAAAAGGAGATCGTGTGATTCCCCCCCCGGGATGCTGCGACCGTCGTAAATCTGAGTCAGAGGCCAAGGGTCCGTGCTTTGACCCAAAGCCTCTGAGATGGCTGCAACGGTCGTAAGTGTGAAACATCGGCGATACATCACTTTTTTATTTTTTAGTGGGGTCGTGGATTCTCACGCTCACCAAATGAATGGTTGTAAGTCAAGGATTACCTGTACATAGTTTTAATTTTTAGGCCCCGCTACATAACCTCACCTGGAAGAGGAGGTTGGTTAGAAGTTCGGGGATAAAGACCCTCAAAGACGGACAGGGGAGCCACCCGGCCAGCAAACAACAGAAAGCGAAATTCATTTTGGGGGATCCTTGGTGCTTTTCTGAGCTGGGTGGTTTTCTTGTGGACGTTTTATTACCAAACTAGGTAACCTCATCAGTGCTAGAAGAGAGTGGAGTTTGAGGGGGGGGGAGGGAGGGAGGGAGGGAGGGAGGAAGGAAGGAAGGAAGGAAGGAAGGAAGGAAGGAAGGAAGGAAGGAAGGAGGAAGACCATGGGGTCCTTGGTGCTCTCTGAGCTTGGTGGTTTTCTTGCGGACGTTTCATGACCCAGCTATGTAACATTATCAGTGCTAGCCAAGTGATGTTTCTGATTACTGTCCTGTTACTACATCAGTAGGATGTTACTTTTTTGGGTGATGAAATACCTGCAAGAAAACCACCAAAGTCAGGCCCCACAGTCCTCCTCCTCCTCCTCCTCATCTTCCAGTCCACAAACCTCACACTCTTCTAGCACTGAGGATGTTCTCTAGTTTGGTAACGAAACCCTTGCAAGAACAACATCAAGCTCAGAGAACACCAAACACCTTACAGTCCTCCTCCTCCTCCTCCTCCTCCTCCTCCTCCTCCTC